GACTTTAATGTGAACGCGTAGAGGAAATCCTGGGTTAACTGGAGTTGATGACCAGCTTCGTGTTTGCTAATGCTAGGATAAGTGAATCCAGATGATGAAACGAAACTCTGCATATGTTAAACAAGCTTTGTAGTAAAGGGCCCTGGTTACTGAAGAGGCTGCCTTTCTGTTTGCCATTTATTTTAGAGAATCATAATTAACTTTAAAGAGAAAAGATTCAACTCGGGATGTTAAATAAAACAACCAAAGCCTAATTTCTACAGATACTAAAAGCAGAGATGAATCAGCTTGTAGTAGGAGTGAAGAACTTTGCTTCCTACTCTTGTAACAACCGTGTAGACCCAAAAGCAGAGCCAACAGAGACACGTATCAAAGTATTACAGTCTTTATTTACTGTACATATGAAAACATTGAGGTAAGTACTGAGGGGCCATGGGAATAGCACAGGGGCTTCCTCCGGGTCTGGGGGAAGAAGGAGGCTTTCCAAAAAGGAAGGGACAGTGCGCTGGTTTGAGTTCAGGTAAGTGTTGCTGTAGGTGGGTGAGCAGGCAGAGGGAAGAGTAGTGCAGAGTGATCCAGGTGGGTACTGTGAATGAACCAACTTGCTCATTTGATGGAAGATAATGGAGACGGAAAGCTATTCAGCTGATGGGAGGAACATGGGAACCGACAGAGGCACCTGAGAAGAGGAATGCTAGGAAACTGCTAAGGAACAAGGTGTTTGCCACTTGTTGGAGGCAGACTCTCTGGCAGAGTATGGATGGCAAACTGGTCCTTTTATACTGAAGTTGAGGAAACGGATGACAGGCAGGTGTGTGCAGCTGAAGAGCGGGAAACCCAAACTCCACCCAAAGAAAAGGAGCGTGCCTTCGGGAAGATTGCTTGGAGGAATAAGAGGAAGTCCAAACAACCAGAGCCCGACTATGACACTACAGCAGCATGAATCTCCCAGATGTTTCTGTTTGTTATGAAGAATGGTTGAATAGTTCCCCATTCATATTTAGAAGTATTGTTTGCTTGAAATTGCCATCCCCAAGTGTGTGTGTGTGTCTTCCTTATTGGGATAGGCATAGGTGCCGATTGTGAGGTAGGACAGCCTCAGTGTTAGTGATACAGCGACGTTCACTAGTGTGCACAACAAGCTCACAAGTGTCTGAGAGCATGCCATAGGAGAGCAGCCACCTATGGCAATAACTGCTAATTAATGCAGAGGTGTGTATAAACACATTGTGAGTGAAAAGTGATGAATATAATAGCAACATTATGCAGTGCATCATGGGAAGCCCCCTGCAGGCTAGCCCCATGGCAGTGTAACTAAGACCAGGCCCCCTGCTATGAGCAAGCAGCTGTCTGCTCATAGAGGGGACATCTGATTGTTGGAGTTTCTTAAGTGCCTTGAAGCAACTGTTGTTGTGTTTTGCTGCTATTATTACTATACAAAGGAAAAATGGGTGATTGGGTATTTTTGGATTAACTGAAGGCTTTTCAGGGAGTTTTTAGGAGAGCCTGACAA